CCACTGTCATAATCATGTCGACTAAATGCAGAGCTCCAACCACAGACAGACAGACAAACAGATAGATAGACTGCAAAACAACTATCAGAAAAGTTGTCTCACAAAAGTCTGTATCGTGTAACCCCTGAAAGGAATCTGCGTCTTGTATTGGTCACCTGTTTGGGTTCTGATACCCATGTAGAAATGACTAAGCATCTCGGCTAAGGCTACAGCATTCAGTCCTCCGATGTGATCTCACATTAGGCTTTTGAGTTTGTTAATAAACTGCCTTTGCTCACCCAGCAGAAAATGGGTACCCGATGGGAGAAGTAATCTAACCAACTAACTTTCTAGAGTCTCAGAGGTTGGGGACCGCCTCCGTGGTGTAGTGGTTAGAGTCCGCCCGGAGAGCGGAAGGTCGCGGGTTCGATCCCCGACCGCGTCATACCAAAAGACGTTAAAATATGGTACTTGTTGGTCCCTGCCTGGCGCTAGGCATTAATGGGTACAACAAGAACTGGTCGGCTCGGAGTCAGTATAATGTGTCTGAGTGGGGTATTCATGCTTCACTGCGGCATGGTATCTCAGTGGGATAGCACTATAAAACCAGCTTCAGTCTGGGCTAGTACAAACAGCCGCACCTACACATACACATGCATGCACGTCGTCATATGAGCGAAATATTCTCAAGCACGACGTTAAACCCAACCTCACCTCAGAGGTTGCAGTTCAGTGGTACAAAAGTTGCCTTCTTACAATTATTTTCAGTATTATTATGCTTACACAGTGGCCTATATGTATTCTTCAAAATAAACATAAACATTTCTTTACGGTATGTTTTGGCTCAAATGGGTCTTCTGTTTTGTATGTGTTCGCTTTATCGCTTCATTCGACTATTCTAGGCACATAAAGAAACTGTGCATACAAAAATTTAAAATTTAAATTTATCAAACCTGTGTAAACACATAAGGATTTAAACTCAGAGATTAGTGACATGTATCCAACATGCATGCACGTGCCACGTTCCGTGACGTTAGTGGGTTCGTCCTTGAGACGTGCAATACGTTGTTGCACGTGCATTCCGGGAAAGAGAAACAGAGCAAATGAATGTCACACAATACTGTCACTTTGGAAAGCTCATCCCCTGCCCTTGCGATCGTTCAAAAAATTAAACGGCTATTGAAACGCATAGCATGCCAAGGCTCACGTCTGCACAACGTCATGAGGCCACGTCTGCACAACGTCATGAGGCCAATGGGATGGTCCGTGGGGGAATGTCTCAACCACAAGTGGCTGCACATTTCCACTGCCACCGGAACACCATTTCTTCACTGGTGAGACGGTACCAGAACACAAATGACGTCATCGATCGGCGACGTTCTGGACGTCCACGTGTAACAACGCCAAGACAGGACAGATCGATAAGGGTGAACCATCTTCGCCACAGGTTTCAGACTGCAGTGATGACTGCCCGAACCATCCCAGGACTTCGCCGTATCCACCCCAACACAGTTCGACAACGTTTACGTCATCACGGGATCAGACCACGACGTCCCGCCTTACGGCCTATCCTGACACAACGTCATCGACAAGCTCGCCGAATGTGGTGCCGAAATCATGTCCGCAGACCCTTGTGTTGGTGGAGAAATGTTGTTTTTACAGATGAGTCCAGGTTTAACATTTCCCATAGTGATGGACGTCAACGTGCCTATAGACGCGTGGGAGAACGTTATGCACAGGCCTGTGTTTTAGAGAGGAATCGCTTTGGTGGTGGTTCCGTGATGATTTGGGGTGGAATGACAGCACGCCAAAGAACTCCTTTGGTGATTGTTCAGGGCAACTGAACTGGTGTGGGCTACAGGGATCAGATTCTTCGACCTGTGGCAAATTCCTTTTCTGCAACGTCATGGCCCTGGGTTAACAATTCCCGCCCTCATACGGCAAGGGTTGCTATGGATTTCTTGCAACACCACAACGTTGACTTACTGCCTTGGCCTGCAAATTCACCGGATCTCTCCCCGATAGAGCATGTTTGGGACGAGATGGATTGACGTCTACGCCGTCATCTTCATCCGCCAGTTAACGTCCTTGACCTTGCAACAGAACTTGAGAGAATCTGGCGTGACATCCCACAAGACTTCCTTGCACGTTTGATAGGCTCTATGCGTCGTCGATGCACTGCTGTTCTCAATGCCGATGGTGGACATACCCGTTATTGAGCTTGTGACATGGTCGTTTGACCCCTGTCCCGTTTGTGGACTCGTGACGTCATTGTGATTGACTTTTCAATTGAAATTCTCCCGACTTGTTATGGTCTCATGATCCCTCCATTAAAGTTTATAGGTACCTTTGACATTGTTATCGTACTTATCAACTGGGATAATATTTTGACAATGCACAGTTTCTTTATGTGGCTAGTATATAACTACACATACGAACCATGTCCAACTTGTACGTAGCGCTGCTGGCATCTTAAGCACCCTGGGCAACACAATTGGCTGTACATAACTGCATTGTTCAGCAGCATGAAATACTCGGGGATCCAAATCCATAAGTATCTTTCCCTTTATCACCGTAAATGTGTAAGAATTCACATTCTCCCATACAACATTTTCTCATATAGAGCCAATACTGGATTCATAAACATGTTTATGATAAGTGGAGCCGATGTATTGGTAAATTTCCTTTTTTTTAAGTATGTCATTTTTAAAACGGAATATGTTGAATGTGAGTTCTCACTCGGAATGGCAAATTCCAAGGATATAAAGTTTCCTGGTATTGAAGATTTAGTTTGATAAATACCTACGATTGAAGCAGAAAATGTAAGAACCCTACAAGAAGAATAAGCTAATCAACAGCATATGGAACCCATCCCATTGCTTTGTGTCTCTTCAGCGACAGCCACCATATAGTTGGAATATTGCTGGAATATTGCCATATAGCTAATCAACAGTATAGATGGAATATTGCTGAGTGCGGCGTTAAACATCAAACCAACTTACTTTTCAAGGACAATGACAGGGGCATCTATACCTAATTCTGCAGAGCATCTGTTGCCTCCCTTAGCCGTCGTGTTAGTCTGGAAGGTCGTCCACGCGACCTGGAAACACTGCACACCGGCCAACACACTGGTCGACAAACAGGCCGACGAGCAGACAGAAACACCCAAACCAGTTTTACGACCAAACCTGAGCACTCCTACATGGAGTAGAAGAAAGTGTTTTTATAGGTATATCTGCGTGTATGTTTGTACGTGTTCCTTTTTGATTAGATAGAAGCTATACAGGTACTTCGACTCTCTCTCGAAATGGGCGACAGTTTTTAAGTTAGGAAAGATAGGGGGACATCGAATGATGGTCCGCAACGGTTTGGTGAGGCAACCATGGCTGAGGACATTATTTACCACAAATAACGCCATAGGAGGAAGTGATGCACAATCCCTAACGTGTATACTACTCTCTGTGACTTTCGTTGCATTAAAAAAACAACCCTTCTCGTCACGTTTTGTCGAATAATAGGTTTCTGGCTGCGGTAAACGTTAATGTGAAAGCACAGGCCTTTCAAAATATATGACGAAGGTGGTAAGTACTAACATCTTTGAAGTGTGGTATTCTCTGTCCAAATGACAATAAAGTATGTTTATTATCCTATATATATTGTATACATGTAAAGGTATTTACGCCATGCGTACAAGTGTTAGTGAGTGTGATTTTACGGTGTGAATTTTTCCAGCAATATCACTGGGACTCCATGTGGCCTTTACATGTACACATTGTACCTATATGGGGAGTCGAACCCGGGTCTCTAGCGTGACGACCTTTACGCTACCTCACTGAGTTACCCATGACTGAGTGGCAAATATATAATTCCACTATAAACTCATGAGTGATCCAGCTCAAAAAGCTTATCTCAGTTGAGTGCCCTTTATTGACCTGCATGTGTATAGTTGCAACTGCAGATCATTGTTCGTCTTTTTTCGGAATAACCTTTTACATATACTATGGCAATGCTTTACACTTCTTTTTGTTAATATTCACACCAAACGTAAAGAGGCGAACTTGGGTTTAACGTCGTACTTAAGGATATTTCGCTCATATGACGACGTGCATGTGTGGCTGCTTGTACTAGCCCAGACTTAAACTGTTTTTTATAGTGCTTGCCCCACTGAGATATCATGCTGCAGTTAAGTATGAATACCCCACTCAGATACATTATACTGACCCCGTGCTGTACCCATTAATGCCGATCGCCAGGCAGAGACCTACATATACCATATTTTAACGTGTTTTGGTCATCGAATGACTGTAAAATAACTAGAGTATCACAGATGTGTCTAAAACTAGCATGTAAACGTAAAACTATTTTATTTACGAAGACAATGCAATATAAAAACAGGCGAATAGGTCGCCAACAACCAAAGGTAGATCACCATAACAGGGACCATGGGGACTTACAGTGATTTTGCTACCTGCATCGACCCTGGTTGAATTAACACCATCCCTTCAGCCGCTGGCGATTGTAGGAAAACTTGGCCGACAGTTAAAACAACAAATATACTACGTTTATAAATCTGGTAAGTTTACATTTTACTTTGAAAGTTTTGGACTTACGTACCTTCTCAGGGGGACACATTTTTTACGATACTTTAACCCCCTTTGAGGATACAGGCATTAACAATTGCAATTGCTAATTTATACTATCGTATTTAAAATACCATTGATGTATTTACAAAACATAGTATGTAAAATTTAGGTAATAATTTTATTTCCTTTGAAAATTCAATTATTAAATGATAATTAACATTGTAAAGAAAGATCCTTAACTGTTTTGACATGGACAAATTTATCAAGGTGATGGAAAAATCAATACAGTCAAGCAGGACATGCTTGATCGTGATTCTCTCATGACACGGGATACAAAACGGAGGATCCTCACCTTTTAACAGGTATTCATGAGTATATCTAGTATGGCCAATACAACATCGTCGCATAATGACCTCTTCAAATCTGGACTGACAACCCATGTAGGTGTAACCAATATACGGTTGTATTTCATGTAATTTATTTATACCGACTTGGGTGTCCAACTTCTTCTGCTTCAGATAACGGATGTACGCTCTAATGCTAGCTTTGTAATCAGAGTATGGAATAAGAAGTGGTGTCACAGACTTGTTGAGTGCTGCCATGGCAGCAAGATCAGTCATTGTTTTTCCAGACATGCCAGCGTGGCTGGGTAACCAGCAGAGGACGATGTCGTTTTGGCCAGTTGCAAGATAATTATACAATTCAATTATTTCGATTAAAAGTGGATGTTTACAAGAGAGAATAATAGCCTGAAGGCACAAAAGAGAGTAAAAAAAGATGATATATTGTTTAAATTTAGGGTGTTTATTAATATATTTTAAGTCTGTTAATATGGCGTTTGCTTCTACTGTGAAAATAGAGCTGTTATCAGGCAATCAAGAAGATATTGTTCTGGATCCAATGACAGTGGCACAAGCTACTGCGCCACCATCCCTGGACCCATCTGTAAACAAGAATTTAAATGTATTATATCTATTTCTTAACTGACTAAATTCTTGTTTATACTGTAATTAATTAGTTTCCTATTTTTTAAATGTGGTTAATGTTTGGTCAGCGTGTGGCCTTACCAATTGCCAAGGAGGAGAAAAAAGAAGACTGGAAGGAGATATATTCTTCAGCTCAATGTCGGCAGCAGAAATAAATGCTTTAATTCTGAGCCCAAGAGGTGGAACAAGAGCAGATTTTGTATTATATAGATCCTCATAAAAATGATTAATAACACAGTTGTGAGCAGGATTAGGTTCATTGGAATACAGCTTTGTGATATATTGTAAAGACAGTTTAATTCTTTAGTTTTAAAGATAGCTCATTGGCCTCGACGGAGAGACTGTGAACAGGATAAGTTCGAAAGGAGCCAAGACAAAGTCTTAGACCTTGGCAAAGGACAGAATCTAATAGATTCAGGTTGCTTTTACAGGCCCCTACATATACGATGGAGCCGTTATCTAATTTCGAGCGGACCAATGATCTATGTAGATGAAGGAGGGTAGCTTGATCCCCACCCACTTTGAATTAGAAACGACTTTTAATAGATCAAGTGCCTTCGGGCATTTAGCTTTAAGGGATTTAGTATGCGGCAAAAATGTTAAATGGGAGTCGAAAATAAGACCTAAGAACTTGGCCTCCTTTACAACTTTGATAGGAGTCCCATTTAAAAATATTTCTGGGTCTTTATGTGGTTAGTATTTACGCCAGAAGCGTATACAATTAGTTTTGGATTTAGAAAATGTATAGCATTTTTCAAAACACCATTTATTTAGTTTGTTTAGACACAACTGCAGTTGCCATTCAATAGTATGCATATTTTTACCGCGACAAGAAATATTAAAATCATCCGCAGAACGTGATCCATCAACTGAATCTTTTAGAACCTTGGATAAACAGTATGACAGACAAAATACTGCCTTGTGGGACACCCTGATTCTGATTGTAATGATCAGGCAGGGTTGAACCCACGCGAACTTGAAATTGACTGTCATTTAAATAGTTGGATATAAAATGAGGCAAACAGCCTGGTAATTCAAAGTCATGTAAATCTTTTAAAATACCATGTTTCCATGTAGTGCCGTATGCTTTTTCTAGATCCAAAACGATAGACACTGCATGTTGTTTATTAATTATATGAATGACTAAATGAAAGATGGTACTTCTGTGTTTAGGGAAACCACATTGTATATCTGTTATTAGGTTATTGGTTTCCAAATACCAAACAAGTCGATCATTTATCATGCGTTCCATGGTTTTGCAAACGTAGCTTGTAAGTGAAATTAGTCTATAATAAGAGTGATCAGAATGATCACGTCCAGGTATAGGTATGGTTATAATAAAAGCATCGCGCCATGACGAAGGAAAGTGTCCAGATGTCCAAAATGTCATAAAAAATACGTATGTCTAAAAACATGATTCTGGTAAGTGCTTCAGGAGTTGATAATGAAGGTTATCAGCTCCTGAAGCAGTATCGTGAGTCTGATCAAGAGCAGTATGAAGCTCATGTATCGAAAAGTTTCATTGTAGTCTTCCCCATTATCTGAAATGAAATTAATAGATTTCTTTCCTTGCCGTTTTTTGATATTTTGGAATTCAGGTACATAATTCGACGAGGAAGAATGTCTGGCCAAAGTTTCTCCAAGTTTGTTTGCCATATCTGATGTATTAGTCAGTATTTGGTTCCCATCTTTTAGATGAAGAATGCTAGATTTAGAGCCCTTACCTTTGATTTTCTGAATAGTGGAGCGGCTAAGCAGATAAATTGTGCATTTAATGATAAAAGCATGAAACTTTGCACAGTTATAGTTTGATGGATAGTGAACATTTTAGGATATGGAGGCACTTAAAATAATTTCATTTTGCGCATGCGCAGTAGATACTTAATATTTTGCCTTTTCTGGCTACCGTTATACCTTTGGGGCTGCCATCAATACACTAATGGGATGATTTGTCTCGAAAATACTGACCTGAATTACTGGCTAAACATCTTAAAAATATAGCGGGGTCAATGTTATGAACACCGGCCCTCGCACCAACAGAGTCCAGTGCATTTAAGTGATGACTGTTTGCATTTGCATCGGTTGTTACAGCCCTTTCTACAGCCACAAGAGACCAACTCCTGACAAGATTGGGATGCTTGGTGTAGTGTTGTCCAGTAGGGAACAAACTGTCCAATTTCCTTCTGTGTCCAGCCCCACTCTGTTGGAGATGGGAGTTCAGGCTGTGGAAGAAGTGATTGACCCCATATGTGGCCTGCCTGGTAAGCAGCCTTTTTGACATGTTGAACAAGAGCTGCATGTGTTAATGGGATGGCATGAATAGAGGTTTTCTTTGCAAATATTCTCTTTCTGGCTTGATAAACATTTGTGCCAAGGCTGGTCCTGTCATACATCAATATGATGAACTTTTCAATGATTTTCATGACATCATATGTGATGCTTCTTGGAGCACTAGACAGAGCAATTAGAGCCTGCGTCACCTCTGGAAAGATTTCCCATGTAGTCCAGGCTGTCTTCTTACCGTGTCTTGCAAATGCTGATACAGTATCACATCCTGTCAGAGCATGAAACATTGGAAGAGCACGCGATTTCTCCAGTCCAAGACATGCTTTGATTTTATGAGCTGCCAAGTAACGAAGAGTTTTTCCTGTCCCAAAGGCAAGCCACAGTTCGGAATGAATTGGCAAGAAGATCTGGGAAACCATGACTGCAAGCACGACAACGTCTGTATCGACTGTTCGTATCATAATCCTGTCATGGCCATGTTTTGCAGCATGAGCAACATGAAGCATTATGCGACTTCGTGGTTGCAAGGGACAAGGGAAGACAAATCAGGTTGTAGAGGAACACAAAGTTTCTCTTCTCCTTCTGTGACAATAACTTCCTTGTGCTGCTCTTGGACAGACTGAATAAGGGCCTTTGTCAAAAAGTGGAAAAGTTCCCCCTTGTTGCGATCGTCATGTAAAAAGCTCTGCCAGTTAACTGGCATGGTAGCAGTACCAATAACGTGTCTTTGAACACCTGTACCCCGTTGAGCTCTGACAGTTGCTTTTAGACTGTTGCTTATGTATCTATCCCAAATCAAATCCAAACGTGTCACATTTCGTAGCTGTGAATGGATGTATGGTATGAAAACCTCACGAGCATATTCATAAAATGTTTTGACTGTACCGGGCTTCAACATTTGTACAGTGACAGCGCCATCAACAATCAGACTGGTCACAGCTGGCATTTCTGATACTGCTGGAGCACTTGCTTCAAGACATGCCAACAGGTCACGTTTTGTTCCAATACGCAGGGATCCATTTTCAGATAAGGATGGTGGATACGTCTGATTTTCATGACGGAAAAATTCATCTAAATTTCCGCCTCGTGTCTGACAGCCAATGTATATCCTGGAAAAGAGTTCCATGTCAGTCTTCATTGTTTTCAGTTCTCCTTTACAATGTTTTATGGCCTTCGATTTTGAGCTGCCAAACAAAGTTAGATTGTTGCGTGAAATAAAACTGCTGATAGGCTTTGTTCTGTCCACAAGACGTTCCTTAGTAAAAGTTTCAAACTGCTCTTTTCTTAGCTGCTCTACACACCTGACAGATTTAAGAACCTCAGCACCTGCTATTTCTCTGGTATCAAGGACAAGCAAATCTGGACTGTCCTCCTCAAAGGGGTTTCAGAGTTCTTGGATGACAGCTACAAGAGAACTGACATCTTCAGCAAAATCTTTTTGTACACATGTAGTCTGATCATGATGGTGTATTTTTTGTCTCCCCTTTTGATGTAAGACATTCTCAAATTCTCCAATCACCCTTGACACCTCAGGTCCAGAAACCATCCAGCGTCTGAGTGCACTTGGATTTTCTATAAGTCCAATCGCACCACCATCTCCATTGATACAGGCATTAGTTTGCTCATGTGCTTGATCAATTGGAATTGCAGAAAATGCACGCTTTGTCTTCTGTACTGTGAAGTAGCCCAAGTTGAATGCTGTTGCTACTGCTACTGTTGGATTGGTGTCTGATAGCTCGCTCATATCTTTGAGATGAACTGGTATCCAACGACCGTAGTAAGTGTGATCCAAGGCAAAGAACCATGGAACAAGTTCTGTTAGCACATCCAAGTACATGGCAAAGTTTGCTTCTCGTAGAGAACGCACATATGCTAGAATGCACAGCTCTAGTTTCAAGGCAATTTCCCAGAAGCGAAACATAGGAGACGTCTCTCTTCGCTTGGTACACCAAGCATAAAATTCCAGCGTATCTTCTCCTTCTACATGAGTCGAGGTAGCATATGTTTCATAGGCATTATGCTGTAAAATATCCAGTGAAGCTGCTGTGATTTGATGAGCTCGCATTGCCTTGATGAACGAATCTGCTGTTCCAGGTGTTGCAATCTCTGCCTGTACAAGGGCATGTGTCCATCCGCTTGCTTTCAGCCAGTCACCAGCAGTTTTTAAGGCTGCCATCTCAATATGTAGACCCCCAAACAAACTGACAAATTTGTTTTCAGCATATTTCTCAGGCCACTTCCACTGTATTTGCTCGGCTATAGCATGCAAAGGCTGGTCAAATGTTATGACACAAGACTGTCC